TATTTTAATTTCAAAGCGAGCCATGAGTATTTTAAAATTGTAAATTTTTTGTACGCACGTCTTAAAATACTCATATATCACTATTAAATTATTATAATGTAATGAATAGCGATAGCCCACGGAGAAGCTCTAGATGATAATATTACTTATAAGGTTTTAAATTGTATAAGAGGTCAATACTCTAATTTTTAAACCAAAGCGCGGAGCTAAACGTGATCTGCTGATCGTAAAATTTGCTTATCACGCACTTGCACAATATGTAAGACTGAGACAACAAATGTCCGATGAGTAGCGTCCTCTTAAATGATAACCGTTTATATTATTATTTCGCAATACGCGTACCGTATACATRGCTGAGCATTATAGTGTTTTATAACTCATTCTATTTTTCATACGTCTCTATAGATAATATGATATAGGTAATCATTTAATATGCATATACATACATAAATAAATATATATATATATATTATGTACATGCAAATCGCGTATACTCGTGTATGTAGTACCTATATATAATATTTTAATGATATGTATTGAATATTTAGGGTGGTCCGTTATGTAGGTATATGATATACAATTATTTATTGGTCACTAATTTTACGTGTATATATACCTCTAATTATAAGTAATTCTAGTCGTACGCGATTATCATTACTATGCATAATTTATAAGTATATTAAAGACGTAATGTAGTTGACTATTATAATATTATTTACACGGTCGTGGCGGTCACCGGTATTTTATGACCCATAAATGTTTTACTTAATATAACAACTATATATATAAAATATAATTCGAGTGCAATTAATGGACACTCGGCGCGCGCGTGTGTGTGAATTATACATAACTAATATTATAATATAGTGTATTTTAAAACGTATTATAAACGAGTCTAAAAAAGACATGCAAAATTCGCGAAAAATTCGCGAAAAATTCGCCACGCTTATTATCAAATAATATACAGCTGCAGCAACGCTTCCACGACGTCGTTTTTTTATGAACTCACAGTGCAGCACGTGCTTATTATTATACGTAAATACTAAATACTATAAGTCTATTGTTTATAAATGGGCGGTTTTAATTTCTTCCACAAAAAAAAGGTTGATTTCCATTTTCCTCCACGTTATTTTCGACTAAAATTATGACTATTTTCCTCCAATATTTTAACCAGTGTTGTAGTATTACGTTCCGTATTATAAAGATAGAATAAGGCTAAGATCACAGTTTCCGCTTATTGGTTGATGATTACATTCTGGTATCGATTATCTATATCAGCTAACGAAAAATGCTGGTCCGAGCAATTACAAAACGTAAACTAATTTTATCTAATTTTTCTCTTCTTTGAATAGGTATAGATATTCATTTTTTGCTGAAATGCCCTATAATCATCAAAAATATAATTTTATAATCTATTTTATTTTTTTGTGTATAAATCATTTATTCATTTATAATGACGACTATTTTATTGTTTTATTAATTATTTATTGGAAGAAAGTGGATAACGGAGGTCGGAGGAAAACGGTATCTTATTTTTGGAGGAAAATGGCCACGGCCCTATAATATACAGTGTRATAATAACTATATATTTTATAATCTGTTATTATACCCGTGCAAATAACATAAAACCAAATTGGTATAACTCGGTCATTTTTTGACTTAGAAAAGAAATTCAACTACTAAAATTCATTAAAAAATACCAAAAAAAAAATAATT